GGGGGTTTCCGCGGCGTTTGTGTGTACCGCGGTGTTCCTGTTCGAACGCGCGGGGGGCTCATCTCCGAACGCCGCGCCGGGCACGCGTTGCGATTTTTATGAGCAATACACAACAAGTCTAATAGTAGTCTAATAGGGAAAATGCACTTGAGACGACCCCATCGAGGCCCTGAGTTGAGGCAGTACAGCCGCCTGCCCGACGCACTGATGGAAGCAGCACTTGGCTTGAGAAGATCCATCCCCATCTTCGGGGCAGCGGCTCGCCCAAGCTTAGTATCCTGAATGCTAACTTCAATCTTGGCCATGCGCTGCCACTCTCTCAGCTCAGCTTTCCGCCAAGGATCTGCCTACTCGTGACGGGACCGCCGAGCGGGACTACATACACGTCTGGGATTTGGTGGGTGCTCACATGGTTGCGTTAGCAGCGATGTTGGCGAAAAGTGTTCAGGGAAAGCAATGTGTGTCAGATGTCTACAACCTTGGAACTGGGACCCCGGTCTCCGTGCGGGAAATGCTCACTGCGGTAAAGGCCCTCTTTCCGGAAGCAAACTTCACGGTCGACATGAAGCCGCCTCGTTTGGGCGATCCGGTTTCCATCTATGCGAACCCCAGCAAAGCACTGGCAGAACTGGGATGGCAAGCCAGCATCAAGAATACCACCGAAGCACTGGCAACCTCTGCACGCTACTTGCGAAAACATGCAGCCTACTTCCGCCTTGACAAGAAGCGGGCGCCGCCCCATGGCGGAGCATCCTCGACCTGGCGGGGCCCGGATGCATCTGCCGCTGTGCCGGCACCTCCCCCGACTCCTTCTCTGACTCCTTCTGCTACTTGGACTCCTGCGCCCAGCACTCCAGGTGCCCGACATGCAATCTTCAATTTCTTTACTCTTAGCTGCACGTTTAAGTTAAAGGTTGCAAGCAGACCAAGAGAACAGCCGAGGTGAGTTGTACAGATCGCGCTACCGAGATCCGGGCAACCCCTATCAAGCCGGCGACATGCCAAATGCCACACTGAACTCCAGCCCCTGGGTGGTCCATCGCTTTTCCACGCCCTCGGCGTCGCCCCGCATGTGCTTGCAGGTTGTCACGATCCCATCGGTGACGGGAGGCTACTTGCCAAAGACCTTTCACCTTCTGCGCGAGTACTGTCGGAGGCACGGCTACGACCTCTACGCTTTGACAGACAAGCTGGGTGAGACGAGAATGGCCTCCTGGCTCAAGATCCGAAGCGCGCAGGCCGGGACGGGGGGCCGGGACACGGCTCAGCTCTCCGTTCTTTCACCTTAGACCTTGGGCTTACGCCGTCTGACCCTGCACGATCACGATTGTGAGACGCTGCGAGGGGAAGGTCGGGCGAGGACCAGGGCCCCTCAGCGAGTCTGCGCTTGCAGAGATCTGGGCAAGAGATTTAGCCTTATATAGGACGAAGGATATAGATTTATTTGGGGGAGGGGGGGGGGGAGCCGGGGGAGCGTGGAATTTTCACAAACCACTTCCATCCTCACTCCACTTGCTTCCCGATCCTAAATGTTGGCAACAGTTGTTGCGGGCGTTCTAGAGAGAGAGAGAGAGAGAGCATGAGAGAGCATGAGAGAGTAGCGGCAGGATGGACCAATAGAGAGCGCCTAGAACATCAATCTTCTTGAAGCAGTGTCAGTGTGCTTTTCTCGTGTTTCGGCAGCCCATCTGACTCCCGTGCTGCTAGCTTTGAAGGACTTAGCCGACTTAAAACCCTTAGCTTCGCTTCGCCTCACCACTCGAAGACTCGAAACTGTTTAGGGTTTAGGG